TAGTTGATAAATGGTGGGACAGTTTGTGTAGCGAAAAAGTAATCCCAGATTGTCAGTATTTGCATAATTGCATAGGGTTATTGACATAAGATCAGCCCTTAGATCATTATAAAATGGACATATAAACACAAAGTGAATTTCATTTTCTACCATACTAAATTCATTACGTATCACTGCAAAAACTAAAAATTTAATGATCTAACGTTGTTTTGTGTGTCTGCCTCAACTCAACATTAAGTTTATGACCAAAACAGCGAAAACTCTTCAGTATATATTTTAGTCTGTAATTGCTTGCCAATAAATTTAAGTATATCTCATGTTCTAATATTAATTTGATTAATACTACACAGCCTGGGTGGTTGTGAAATTGAGGCATGCCATTCAGGCTTGCTGACAACAACCTTTTATTATTTGGGTAAATAGCTCCAAGAAATTTGCAGAGCTCCAACTTGTTGTTTTTTTAAACCAGACAAGGCCGAAACCATATTTGAACAGGAGATTTTGTATGTGGGTTTTATCGAGTAAGTCTGCCGGTCTCGTCTAAATGTTTAAGCATTATATAACATGTTTTGGTGTTCCAGCTATTTTTTTAATTCAAATAATTGTAACCAAGAATATGAGATACAGCACTTGAAATAACCACAGCATAATGGCAGCCTTCTACATTCATCCAACATTGCTACATTGTTTGTACAACTATTAACGCTAAGTAGATATCTAGATATGTAGTCTGTACCCCCTCGATGATCTCCAAATATTCGTACCCCCATATCTGGCTGACCCATAAAAATATAGTAACTTTTCTAAGACACCAAAAAGAAACGTGTCAGGCACTATATATATATCTTTTTCGTCATATGTTACCGAAAAAAAAATGAGATATTGGGATATATGCTTGCCATATCCCATATATTTACATGATATATCATTTATGTAAAAATTAAACTGACAATGGTTTGTGTGGCACACTACTCTGATAACGCAGACTTAGGCATATCACACAGTGCATTACATAAGTTATCCTTCTTGGATGTAAGTTTGCGAACGTATCCAAAACACGATCAATATCGGTTTCTCGATGAATGTAGAGTAAAGCTATAGATGTCAATCTCTCTTACCCCATATATGTATTCAACCTTCTCAATGCGGAGAAACTATGCTGATACTTGCAGCTTGTCGCAGATTTTGTAGTTCTATAAAATGTTTGAAAATTATGATTCATCGCATAGTTTCAGTGCTGAAGCAACACTGTGGCAGTGGCGGATCCAGCAAAATGTATTGGGGGGGGACAAGATTCGCAGAGAAGCTATGCGTTATTCAGATCATATGAATTGTCATGCGTTGGGGGAGGGGCATGGCCCCTCTGGATCCGCCACTGCACTGTGGGGTAAATTGTCGACTGCAAGAAGCTCTTCGACCTATACAACTCGTGATGATAAATCATTAACTTGAAGAACTAATGAACCAAACTATGAAAGTACATTGTCGTGTTTTGCTTGAAAAATTACGGGACCGATCAATCCCACACTTTACTAACTGAGCGAACACTAGCACAATACAAACTACCCTTTTCAGGGCCACCACACTTCCTTCAGAGAGTGACTGCCATTACATTATTGTTTCAATATTGTATAAGTATGCTTACCCGTTATAATATTTGACATCAGCTGCTTCAACGCGATCTTCATTACACCATCGCGGAATCACAGAATAAAAGCTTGCCCAATCTTTTTTAAATGGCTGCTATTTAGCTGAGACGGCGTAACTTTAAGATTGACATTTAAGCTCGTTGCCACCAAATTTCTCATTACTATGCAATGACAATTTGATTTATTATAATATCGTCCGGGATATTAATACCGGTGACGTTTTATTATATTTTCGAATGCGGTATGTAGCGAATATACTGTAAGTACACAGTCATGTCAGGTTATAATAATACTAATAATATATAATAATAATATATAATAATAATATATAATAATAATAATAATAATAATATTATTATTATTAATAAGTTAATTACACAACTAAATCTTCAGAGGATTTAGTAAGGTAAAGAGAATAACAAGACAAGAATAAACACATGTATTAAAAACAAACAAACAATAAAAAAAAAACTTAAAAAATAAAGACTAATTACAACTATTGGTATAAAGATTATTAAAATGATTTAGCCAGTTGGTACTTGAAATAACTGACTCTGGTTTATTATTATCAATTTGAGAACGCAAATTTTTGAGTATTAACCAGTACTCATTTTGGTTTGATTTATTCATTTTCTCAAGTTCATTAACCATTGACTGCTTGAATTTTTCTTTTTTATCTTTTATAGTGTGTTTAGAAGTTTTTTTAACATGAAAATATCTCTTTTTGACAAAATTGTTGTTTGGTCGTTTTGTGAATAATTCGGAGGCCATAATCAAATCTTTTTTTCAGATTATTACATGATCTGTCAAACCAAGGCTGTTTATAATTCTTTTTAATTTTATAACTAGTAGCTTCGCGGTAAGTGGCTTTTGCGTGAAGTGGGTTTAGTATTGGGTGGGTCTTGCGGGGAATAGGGCTTTGTCGCAGTAACTGGTCCTTTCATCGTTGTTGAGAATTAAAGTTTTATGTTTCTTTAACAACTCGCGCTATTCTGGGAATACTATCCCTAGAAGCTATTAATCTGCCTTTATAGTTTGTACAGTTGCTCTGGCAGGAGTTCCAAAATACGACCCATTGCATTGTCATTATGATCTTATTGGTGTTGCAAAGGATAGTTGAATGATGTTTATTAAAATTAATACTCCCCATAACCGTTTTCCAATATAGATAAACTACAGTACGTAACAAATATATAACTCAGTCTCAACAATGAAATAAAGAAAAGTATATATATATATTTACATTATTACTAATGCATTGCAATACAACTAATTAAAATTGA